CTCTAATCCCAGGCCTCTGTTGTGGATGGCTCATTACGCACACACATCTTACTGTAGATTTTCAGAGCAGTAGGCCTTTAATCTTGACTTTGGATTCTGTACCAGCTGTATGCACCATTCTTTTTTCCTCTGGTGTATGTATTCTGGAGCTACAATTTTAAAAATTGGGATGGAATGTCACTTGTGATGTGGGGGGATTGTCCAAAGTTGGGGGGGGGGGTTTACTGCATTTACTTTATACTCTATCGCAGCTATGCAGTAGCATCCAGCAAGCACCTTCCATTTAAATCCTTGTGGTTCGGGTTTTGCACTTGCATTTTAGTGCTAGTTCCTTGAATGAAAGGGAACACAAAGGAAGGCAGGGAAAGGGGGAAAACCCAATGTGGACACTGACCAGACTTTTGAAGCCCCATTTTCCATATTACTGAGCACTATGGGATTCTCTGTTGTGTTATTGGCCACTGTGAAAAATGAGAGAGTCACACAGTCTTGTAATATGGGGGAACATGTTGAGTGTACTGAATGCATGGTAGAACCACTGACACATGCACAAAGTTGGCTGCAACTCCACCACACTTTGCACAGGGCTGCAATTTGTGTGGGGGAGGAGTCCTCTGGCAGAAGCTCTGGAGAGCTTTTTTAGTCTTGTGCCACTAAATTGAAAAAAGGGGGTTATTTTTGCTGATGCCCTAGCACAGCTGCATAGTAACTATAAAGTACTGAGACTGACGTATCGTTGAGTGATTTCAGCTTATACTTTACTTAGCGATTTCAAGAACTTGAGATACAAGGGCAAGGCCGCGGGCTGCTTAAATGCACACACAGAACCACACCCACACACACCCGTGATTGGCTTATTTACATTAACCTCCATTAGATAGGTTCCCTTGAGGATCCGGATTAGCCGATAGGCTGTTTCTAGGATCCTCTTTCCCCATTGTTGCTCTGGCTGTTTGGGAAACTGTGTGCCTGATTTGACCACATGCACGGTCTCTGTCGGAACACAACAGTAACACTAATTCCCTGTCCTTCCTTGCAAATGTGTGTGGTTTTCTCTTTGAGATTCTCTAATTTGATCTAGTACACTGGCCGTGATCTTGGCAATTTTTTTAAGAGCCTGTCCTGTGGAATTCACTTTGTCCTCTGAATAAATAGATCCCAAGCAATCCTTAAGTTTGGCAGTTTGCATAAGGTCCATGTGGCTCAGCCACCATTTTAATATTAGACTTCCAGAGACTGCCAAATTGGTTCCCCCCAAAAAACTTTCTTTACTAAAGCATTAAAGGAAAAATGTTTTCAAAGCTTTAGGCTTCCCATCCCAGTGTCTCTCTCACTTTACTTCTCATATCAGTTTAATTCCATGCTGATGATCCCCCCTTTATTTTAATAATAATAATACTTCTAATTTATTAATCTCTTTCCCCAGTGAGCTTAAAGCGATGTACAATTACACATTTTAGACAGGGGACTAACAATGTTCAGAGGGGATAGGGAAGACAGCATAAATTCATTTAATTGCACACACTGTCACTGAATGGTGTAAACTTCTTCTGGCTTGGCTCAGTCATTTTCTGAACGGCTGCTTGTCGACCAGGCTTCAGTACCCGTATGTCAAATCGCCACACTGCCACCACCTGGCCGGAAACATCCACTGCAGGGATTTTTGTAGCCGAGAAGTTCTTCCACCTTTTCCGAACCTCGACCAGGACGTCCTGACCGTCAGCTAACACCCTCCCACAAGGGAGATTGGTGTGCCCACCCTCTCTAAGGAGTGGTTCCCATTTTATCTACTCGCCGAAGCTTTCGATTCTCTGGGTGGACGATGAGCTGGGGACAACAGGCTGGCTGCTCACACCAGCGGGAGGCTTGAACTAACACAGTTTGGATGTTAAGACAGTGGGATATACCCACTATGCCACCGCTCCCCTTTGTTTCCATGCAGCACTTCTTCTTTTTTTCTTTTTTGCACTGGGGACACTGCTGTTTGCCTCCTCTCCAATCCCCCTTTTAAGTCAATACCAGCAGGGAACTAAACCTTGCATAGCTCCTTTTAAACTCCCCCCGGTCATTTTAATTTTTCTGTTCAGCAATCCGAGACTAGCAATACTCTCATATCGCTAGACACATGAAGCTTCTACAATGATGAAGGGGGAGGATGTTGGAAGGTGCAGAGTGGGTTGAATGACCTCACTGTGGGCTCGGGAGTAAGGTGGTAAAAGGGTGGGGGGAATTTCCAAGGCAATCTACATTTTTGAATTACTTTTGGTTTGGAAGCAAAACAAGGGAAAAGTCAGCAAAAGAGCTGCACTCTCAGAAAACCCAGGGAAACAGTGACCAAAAAGTAAACTGAGCTCTGAAGGGAGGAAAATCAGTGCAGAACAACAAAGAAAACATGACAGACATGCACGGTGAAAGTGAGGGGAAACACCCATGCATAATAGGCCAGTGGTGATGACAGCTATGAGAGGGATGCAAACATAAGTTCTTTCCAGGGCTTTTTTTGTGGAAAAAGCCCAGCAGGAACTCATTAGCATAATAGGCCACACCCAACAGCAGAAATGTATTAGCATATTAGGCCACACCCCTGACAGCACAGCTCATTAGCCCATTAGGCCGTACCCACATGTTACCAGGTTTGGTTATCCAGCCACACCCACCTTTTGCTTCTTATTCTGTTTACCTTGTTTGTTGCCAAAACCCAGGGCTTTTTTGTAGCAGGAACTCCTTTGCATGTTAGGTCACACACCCCTAATGTAGCCAATCCTAGTGAGTTTCTGCTGTTGGGTGTGGCCTATTATGCTAATGAGTTCCTGCTGGGTGTGGCCAACTTGGAAGCCAGCAGGAACTCCATTCCTGTGCGTTCCTGCCCAGAAATAGCCCTGGTTCTTTCCTGTAAGAGCTTTTCTGTTAATATCAATGAAAGGTGTACACAGTGCTTTCTTCAATGTCATGAGCTGGAAGCTTTTATGTGCAGGATCTCTGTATGCGTGAAGAAGCCACAATTAGGGATAGCTGGACTGTATCCCCTCTGAACTGAATATGTGATAAACAAATGATGTTTGCTTGATTTGTAAGTCTTCCCACTACTTCAGTGACTCCTGAGATTTGGGGGAATATCTTAGAATGGGATACACTGGCTGCAGTCAGATGTGCAGTTTGATCCAGTGTGGCCCTGCTTCTAATTGATCCAGGATTTTTTTTTTTAAAAAAAAATTGTAATGGAGAGTTTGGATCAGACCTCCCCCTTAACCCGCTTCAATGCGCTTTCACCCCCTGGTTGATTAATCAGCCATGGCAGCCGCAGAGTGGGGTGGTTGGGTAGGTTTTTAAAAAAAATCATTTGTCTTTTGAGCATGCACATAAGCATGTATGGGAAGCAGCACTTCAAACTCCTGGCAGAATGGTGGCAGCTGATGGCAAATGAGATTGCTGGAGGAGGCTTCTGGGATATGTAGTTCCATGTGAGGGAGTGTTTTTGAAACTGCTTTTGATAAATTCAGGGTTTCAAATGTTTCAAAGCCAGTAGGGAGAGAATAGAGAAGCCTCATCCTGTGTCCTGTGTGCTGCTGGCATTTTTATTTAAAAGTGTGAAGCATTGTTCTCAGACTGCCCCCTCCTTCCCTGAAAAAAAAATCAGCTTTTCAATTAACCCCTTCCCCACCCTGTGTCTGGAAAGCACAGAAAAAAGTACACAGGTGTCTTTCTTTGGAAGTTTTTAAAGACGAAAACACAGTTTTGAGAAACGTGTGTGTGAGGGTGGAAGGGAGAGAGAGGTGAATATGCAGTTATGCACACCTTGCCAACTGCCTCAAAAAAATGTTCCAAACTGGAAGGGAACGTTCAGACTTCCCAAGTAGCTTGAGAGTGTGGTGGATTGATCAGATATCTGGAAACGTGGGGTGAAGCTGCATACATCATGAAAGACCGGACTTTCCCTGTGCCAAATAACTCCAGCTCAAAGACAGGTCAGAATGGGGTGTCCATGATTGGGGAACGGAATACAGATGTTGCTGCATGGACGTGCATTTTAAATCCAGAGGGGAGCAGCAATGACACCAGATCAAACAGCATGTCTGATCGCTGCCACTGTTACTGAAAATAGTGAAAATGTACAAAACACTGAACTCTTACTTGGGAAAATATGCCTACTTTTGGGGTGTTCCACACTGAAGGATTATCCAAGAATTCCATTATCTGTTCTGGCAAGAGAACCATACCAAATGGAGCTGGGGCTATTAGAAGACTTAATTTATTTATTTTGAAAACATAGCCTAAAATAATGTAAACAAATGTATCTATCCAATCAAAAGGCAGCTTAATTGATCAACAGATGTGTCATTTCAAGCAATACACACATAAACATATCAAGCTGCCTTCTACTGAGTCAAACCCTTCACTGTTACTGAAAATAGTGAAAATGTACAAAACACTGAACTCTTACTTGGGAAAATATGCCTACTTTTGGGGTGTTCCACACTGAAGGATTATCCAAGAATTCCATTATCTGTTCTGGCAAGAGAACCATACCAAATGGAGCTGGGGCTATTAGAAGGCTTAATTTATTTATTTTGAGAACATAGCCTAAAATAATGTAAACAATATGTATCTATCCAATCAAAAGGCAGCTTATTTGATCAACAGATGTGTCATTTCAAGCAATACACACATAAACATATCAAGCTGCCTTCTACTGAGTCAAACCCTTAGTCCATGCAGATGAGTATTACCTACTCTGACTGGCAGAGGTCCTCCAGAGTATCAAGGCTGAGGCCTTTCATAACACTTGCTGCCTGATCCTTTAACTAGAGATGCCAGGGACTGGAACCTTCTGCAAACAAAATAAAGGCCTAACCATTGATCCATGGGCCTTCCACCATTTTACTCAGTGTGCCAAAATGTATTTGAATGAAAATGTATTTAACTTAATGCATGTTACATATATTTAAATCAACAGTTTAGTTTTACAATACCATATTTGTTTTGCAATCTTTGCTTTTTAGCTCCTTGTGGAAGTCGATCAACGGGCTCTGAAGGCACAGTTTTATCACCAAACTATCCTAAAAACTACAGCATAGGACATAACTGCATTTACTCTATTGCTGTCCCTAAGGAGTTCGGTGAGTAGTCTTTGCTTTATGGATTTTTGTCTGAATTATTTAACCATTATTAGTTTGATATCTTTGTTTGGACATTGCAATTATGTTGAAGTGAAACCTTTTATAAACCTTTTGAACCCCTAGCTTTAATTCTGAGAATGACTTTGGTACACACGCATGTTCTTTCCATTGTATACCTTGGTATCACTACACTTTGGATAAAGTTGTGGTTGTCTTTTCATAGCAGATTATGTACTAGTGTTGGTATATCCTTTTTTAAGTATCAATAAGAAAGTGGTTTGCAGAAGATATGCCCTTTTATTATCTTGATGTCTTAAACTTTACTGCATAAAACAAATTATTCAAGCAGAAGATGTGTATATCTAAAATACTGGGGGGGGGGGAACCAGCATTAGAAATACAGGTTAAGTAGTAGCTGGTTTGCAGGTGGATATATATGAAAAGACAGAAGAGATGAGCTGGTATTATGAAGTTAATGAAAGACCAATGTATGTGAACCTTAATCAGATATATTTATCGAATGGTCCATGAATAATTTATCTGGAGCTGATACATATTTGTGACATACACCCCAATCCTGCCCCATACATTGTATACAATGTATCTCGTGAGCCATTAAAAAAAATCTACCTTATTCCTGAAATATCATGAATAGACCATACTGTATTAATGGGGCCTGCAGTCCTGACAGGGCTTTTTTGAAACTTTAGACTCTGTGTATGTTCCAACCTCATGCTTGGGCCATGACTTACTCAAAGGCTGTTTCTTACACTATCTACAATTGGAGCAATGGGACCTGGTAGTGAAGGAAATTTAAAACCGAAGGATATAAATAGATTATTACTACTAGCTGTGGTGTGGCCACATAAAAATAGTCCATGTCGGGCTTTAACTGTATGAATCAAACATTGTAAATTAAATAGTTTACGGTCTCACCTCACTTGTAAGTTTATGAGAACAACCTTAAGCAGGTCTACTTAGAATCAAGTCCCATTTTACTCAGTTTTCTTTGTCCAGCATGGCATATTAGTTGGTGTGTCGCACTGAAATCTGGGAGAAACAGATGCAAATCCTTCCTATGCCATGGAAGCTTACTGGGTGAGCTTGAGATGGTCACTCTCTCTCAACCTTGCAAGGGTTGCTGTGAGGATAAAACGGAGGAAGGGTTCACACCAGAGGGGAAATGGAGCATAAACAGCTAAATAAAATTACTCCAAGGAAAGAGTTCTTAGGTCCCTGCCACACGGCAGGGAAAAGGACGGCTGAACTGCGGTTAATCTGAGCTGCACCAAAGTTGAGACGCCGCGGCGGGGTCCCACGGATTCCCCGAGCCGCGTCGCTCCCCGGCACGATCAGATGCCGGGGAGGAAGAGTCGGATGGGAGGGGGAGCATGCGCAGTACGGCCGGGGGCCAGGATGCAAGGACGCGCCGGCCGATCCCACGGCCCGGCTTGAGGCGCTCTACTGGAAAGAACCACCTAGGTTTCTTTACTGCACGTTTTCGGCGGTAGGGACGGATCAGGGACGGGCAGGCAACGATTCCCAGATGTTGCCATGGGATCGCGCCCGTTTGCTCCGCCCCCGTTCCGTCCCCCTCCCAGCCCAAAACGCCTCGTATGAACAGGGCCTTAGTATGGCTAACTTGTGTATTCATGTGCACATGTGTATTTGTATGAAAGAGAGAGAAAGGCTAATTCTGCACAAATGTTAACTGCTGGCTTCAGCTGTAAATAAAACGTTATCCTAATTCTGCATTGGCTTTTCCCACCATTGTTTTAGCAAACCCACATTGGAACAGAAATTCCCCTCTGCACTGCATGCTGCTTTCACTTCCTTTTTTGAATTTTATGGTAGCCTCCACACTCCATGCCACTTTCACTTCACAGTCCATGCCACTTTCATCAGATTTTACGGTAACTTCTGCGTAGATTTATGGCCGTTTTATAGGCATTCAGGGGTGACTTTGCAGTCCATACAGCATTGGCCCAGGGTATTTGAATGTGATTTTGAGCTGTACTTTTTCCTCCCAGTTGAGAAAATGTGGAGTGAATGCTAGATGCAGAATCACCCAGAGGAAAAAATGCTCACTATATGTGGCTACTGACTACAGGAGGTCTTAGCTGTAACAGGTACATCACAGAACTTTTTAAGATACTATAGCAACCGTGAAATGAGGGAGATTAGGGAATCCCCCCTCCCAAAGACAGTAATCACAGCACAAAAATTTCGGCTAGAGCATATTTTACACATTTCTTTCTAAATTAGGTAATAAGTAAACATTGTGTTTAAGGGAATGTATGTAGGATGACCTGAAAGTTCTACTTGTGATCAAACCTGTGTGAATGAAGTCACAACTTGACTTTCAAATAAAGATATTCTCAATAGAGGTAGAGGTTTCCCTTGCTTGAAAGCCAGTCAAAACCGACTCTAGGGGGCAGTGCTCATCTCTGTTTCCAAGCCAAAGAGCCAGCACTGTCTGAAGACTTCACGATGGTCATGTGGCTGGCATGACTAAACACCGAGGCACACAGAACACCTATTTATCTACTTGCAGTTTCTTGCTTTCGAACTGCTAGATTGGCAGGAGCTGTGGCCAGGGCTATTTTGGGGCAGGAACGCACAGGAATGGAGTTCTGGCTGGCTCCCAAGTTGACCACGCCCAGCAGGAACTCATTAGCATAACAGGCCACACCCAACAGCAGAAACTCATTAGGATTGGCTACATTAGGGGTGTGTGGCCTAACATGCAAAGGAGTTCCTGCTACAAAAAAAGGCCCTGGGTTTTGACAACAAACAAGGTAAACAGAATAACAAGCAAAAGGTGGGTGTGGCTGGATGACCACACTTCTGGTAACATGTGAGTGCAGCCTAATGTGCTAATGAGCTGTACTGTCAGGGGTGTGGTCCAATATGCTAATGAGTTCCTGCTGTTGGGTGTGGCCTATTATGCTAATGAGTTCCTGCTGGGCTTTTTCTACAAAATGAGCCCTGGCTATGGCCAGCTCACACTGTCACACGACACTAGGGTCTCGAACCTTCCAGTCTGCAGTTCAGCATGTTAACTTCTTAGCCACCGTGGTTCCATTCTCTATAGGAAAATGGCCTTAGTGTAAGAAGAAGCTTGGTTTGATCAATTTTATCACTATTTGGGAGTATTTCTTTTGTTTAAAAACAATCAAACAAACCCCCGGGATTTGCAAACCTTAAAAACACAATAATGGAATGAGAACAGAAACAATCTGCGATACAAACTCAAACTGTGCGTATAAATGGCAATGAATTGCTGTCTTCTATTTGCTCGATATTCCTTGCCTTCCCTTCTTGAGTGAAATACATTACACCAATGTGTGAAAGTATTTGGAATAATTACACTTTAATGTGTGCCTTGTATTATTTAATGCTAATTTTCGATATGTTTGATATTTCTGTAACTTTTTGAATATACTGTTATCACAACAGATAAATACCAAGTGTTGAATAACCATTGAATCCCATGATTTATAAACTTACAAGGAAGAGAACATAGCACAGTGATACCTTCCAAATTTCAGTGCATTTCCAATTAGCCTCTGGTGAAATTATAGACTTTTGTTTTTCTTTTTAAAGGAATGAGTTTGTGTAAAAATGGTAGTTAAATAGTCCTTGTTCTCCCATAATAAATGCAGCAATGGCAATAGTTAATGAAATTATTGTGAGTTTTCAGTTACTTTTGTCTCATTGGGATCATTGAGAGTGTCTGTGTGAGTGGATCACATTTGGTGACTCTGCCTCAACCAGGTATAGTGTAATTTAAACCAACAGGTAATTGCTGCAGCAACAGGAGTGCTTTCAATTGTTGGCATCGTATCATCGGTATTAGGGCACTGGCTACGAGCCCATACATTTTGAGAGCTGTCAAAACAAACAAGGAGAACCGGGTTATGTCCTCTACATTTATAGGTGGTAGCTTAGTACATTTGTTGGCATAGCTATAAGATTTTGTAACACATATCTGTGACAGTTTTAGCTTCATCTGGTGATAACAGTGCACATCTTCAGCTGGCGCCGCTCTGCTTGCAAAACAGCCACGGTTTCTGAGCCATACATGACAAAGCAGATTAAAATGGACAGTACTCAGGGTGCTGAATAGGGTTTCCAATCCCCAAGTGGGACTTGGAGATCTCCTGGGATTACAATTGATCTCCAGACTACAGAAATCAGTTCTCCTGAAGAAAATTGCTGCTTTGGAGGATGGACTCTATGGTATTATACCCCACTGAGGTCTCTCCCCTCCCCGATAAAATAAATTAAAAAATTCCCCCCCAGGCTCCACCTGAAAATCAAAGAGGTTGGAACAATGAAAAAGAGATTAAAATAGAACTATGAATATAGTACACATTTCCAAAAAGCTAGTATTTAATTTAATAATGCATATTGAAATGCTAAAATATGATTTAAAACAACAATCATGTGATTCACCATATAAATACCTAATCTCAGTATCAAGACTCCAATGGAGTGCTCAGGAACAACAGGAAAAAATGAGCCCAGTCACTCCACTGAAGTTCCGAGCATTTCTGATCTGACCTAAGAAGATCCATGGGCAAAGGAAATGTTTTACATTTTGATGAGTTGTCCATGCTGGATTACAAGAAGATTTGATACCTCTACAAGTGAACATTTTAGTGTGAGTAAGGTCTGTTCTTTGCATGGTCAGGTTTCTGTATTTAATTGTTAATGGTGTTAGCCGAACTCCGCCTCATGTACAGCGAGGGCTAGGTGGGTTGCGGCCAATGTATACAGAGAAAGCAGAATCCGAATGAGAACCCATCCCAAAGAGACAACGTGACAAGGTGTCTGTAAACTCAGTTGTTCTCTTTACTAAATAATACTTGGTTTCACAAGTATACAAAACAGAAGCATACACTCAAACACACAAGGTTCCATTAGCAATAAAGAAAATAATACAAAATAGTCCTCTAGTTACTTTGGAGTCTGGGGTAGGTATTCGTCAAATACTT